TGAAAGGAGAGTCAGGCTGTCCCTCGTTCCAAGTACCGACAAGAACAGCAGGCCGTTGATCCCGCGGAAGTGATGAATGTGGCTTTGTCGGCGATGCTGTATCGTACTGGCACGGGGGACATGTTGCTGTTGTATCAACAGTTTCAGACAAAGCTTTGGACTCTTGACCCTTCGACTCAGCTCGCTTCAAGTCTTCCTGCCAGCGCAGAAAACGGTCTCTAGCATTCTTCGAAACCATGTACTCATTGGGGTATATCATCAGACCATGCTCCTCTGCGAAAGCCCTGGCGCCCTCTCCAACAAGAGCGTTTGGTGCAACTCGCCTCAGGCTCAGTGGTTTATTGCTCATATCTAGAACGAGTTTGGCCAGGGATATCGGGTTTCGAATATCTGTGGTAATGTCAACAGGCGAATTTGCCCTGGGCAGTAGAAACCTACTAGGAACAGCACCACAGGCGCCGCTGCGGCCAAGATGGTCCACTACGGTGGCATCGCATTCCACCACACCATCAATAGAAAGATTAGAGCCGTACCCAGCGTTGGTAATTTCTTTATCCTCGAGGATCCGGAGGGCTGCTTCGACGGCCTCAGTTGCGCTGGCACCGGCTCTGAGGAACCTCATGCCCATCTCAACCGCACTTATTGATGTTAGCAAAACCCAGGGGTCCAGGGGCTACTGGGGAATATCTCACGCAACACAGGCCTGAAGATGTATGTGCTCATTTTGATGACTGTGAAACCCAGCCCCGGCGTGAACAAAGATAGCAGGCACTGTTTTGGTTCTGTGTGCCACTTTCATTACCCGATCGAAAGCGCCATCCGTTCCATGAGGGGTGGATCCTGAGCTAATAGGGGGATCATCATCGAGACTGTCTGACATCCTCGAGAGAAGTCATGAGCTAGCGAGGGTCTATTGCTACGAGATTATCGAGATGATGTTGATGATTGTGAGAGAGGAAAAGAAACGAAAGGCGGGCGTCGAGGGCCCGGGAAGTGATGTTGATAGAGATTCAATGCTTAGGGGGAAAAGGTTGAAGATTGAACAATGATGCAGTTTTGGGCAGATCCAAGCTTTGAGGGGAAATTAAAACACTCTATAGATAGGGAAAGAGCTAGAGGAGCTGTTGGGTCGGGTTTGATCAGTCACTCCTTGCTTGATAGACTCGTTGTGTTAGACAAGAAGCAGCAATCGTCAGATGGAAAACAAAACTATACCTTATACAATCTCTAATCTCTAATCAACACCTCGTTATTGGACACATATAATTGCTACGAGTTTAACCATTTAGAGACATATCTGATCCATAGATCTATGACAAGACCTTGCATTCAAGAAACCTCACAAACCTCAAGACGAGCGTTCGATAAGGCAGAGACGTTGAAGAACTACAGTTGCCTGCTGAAGAGGCCTAGAAATGACGTCGCACGTCGACTATAATTACAACTCACTTGAGACATCCAAACTTCAACCTGAGACAGAGACCAATCCAAAGCATCGACTTTGGAAGCCTACCAGGCTCGAATTTACTTGTGTGAACCGACAGACAGACATTGCATTGTTAGATACTAAATACAATTGGTTTGTTGTACTTGAACTTATATTCCTTTTTGTTAAAACTTGTCAATTGTGTCTATAATTTTGTCACTCAGACCGTCACACCCGGTTATCGCAACAACCAGGCCCCACAACTCCAGCCATTCAGTGACACGTCCCACTCAACGGCGGGGCACAGCACAGCCGCAGTTCAAGCCTCACCTCCATCCGAGCTGGGAGCTTTACAAGGCACGTAACGTAATCCTCGCCCAACGACTACCATCATCGCCGCACATTGCAATTCCTCACACGCGGCATTTGCGTCCACCTCTTGTCCATCTTCTCTTGCAGCTGTGCGCTTCACCACGCACTCTCGCCCATAATGGCTAACCAAACTCCCGCCGTTGTCATGGACAAGTACGTCTCACTTATCCCAGCCCCCCGCACTGACGACGACAGCTAACCTCAGCTCACAGCGGCACGGGTTTCTCCAAGCTAGGTTTGTGACGACGAAACACTCTCCTGAGGCTACTATGTAGTCTTGAGCTTCATGCTGATGCTCCAATCTAGGTTTCGCCGGTAACGACTCTCCCTCATTCGTCTTCCCGACCGCGATTGCGACAAAGGGGCCAACTGGCGGAGCTGGTGGCTCTGGTTCTGGACGACCGGCTGTTGCGAACAAGCCATCTTTTCTTACGGGAGGTGCTGGAGCTGGAGGCCATCTGAGCGGAAAGCGAGGCACCGAGGATCTCGACTTCTTTATTGGCGATGAGGCGATAGCAGCTTCTGGAGGTCCTGGTAGGCAGCCATATGAGCTAGAATTCATGAATTCAGCTGACAAGCTTAGGATATGGTCTCCATTATCCTATCCGGCACGGTCAAATAGAGAATTGGGTATGCTTGCCGACGAATCCGACATGACCTATAATTGACCGCCTTTAGGACCACATGGAACGATTCTGGTCCAACTCTATCTTCAAGTATCTGCGAGTCGAGCCTGAAGACCATTACTTCCTCCTTACCGAGCCCGTGAGCATTATGCGCCCTATACGACGTCAAACATCAAACTAATACACATAGCCCCTGAACCCGCCCGAGAACCGTGAGAATACCGCCGAGATCTTCTTCGAGTCCTTCAACTGCGCTGGAATGTACATTGCCGTCCAGGCCGTTCTCGCTCTGGCTGCTTCTTGGACGTCTTCAAAGGTCCAGGATCGTTCATTGACTGGTACGGTCATTGATTCTGGTGATGGTGTCACCCACGTCATTCCTGTTGCCGAGGGTTATGTCATTGGATCTTCTATCAAGTCAATTCCCATTGCTGGTCGAGATATCACCTACTTCGTTCAGTCCCTTCTGCGAGACCGAGGCGAGCCCGATTCGTCACTCAAGACGGCTCAGGAGATTAAGGAGGAGTACTGCTATGTGTGTCCCGATATCGTCAAGGAATTCAGCAAGTACGACCGGGATCGCACTCGATTCGCTCAGCACGTTGTTTCACACCCCAATGGCCGACAGGTTTCCGTTGACGTCGGTTACGAGCGCTTCCTTGCCCCCGAGATCTTCTTCAACCCCGAGATTTACAGCTCCGACTTCCTGACTCCTCTGCCCGTGGTTGTCGACGGTGTCATTCAGCAATCGCCTATCGACGTCCGACGAGGTCTTTACAAGAACATTGTTCTTTCTGGTGGAAGCACACTGTACAAGGATTTCGGTCGCCGATTACAGCGAGACATCAAGCAGCTGGTAGATGCAAGGATTCGAGCCAGCGAGGTCCGCAGTGGTGGTGCTCGTAGTGGTGGTCTGGACGTGTCCGTTATCACTCATAAGCGACAGCGACACGGTCCTTGGTTCGGAGGCAGTCTCCTTGGTCAAACCCCTGAGTTCCGATCATACTGTCATACCAAGGCCGAGGTAAGACGAACTGTATTTTGTATACTGACCATGACTAACAACATCACAGTACCAAGAATATGGACCCAGCATTGTGCGAAGATTCGCTCTGCTTGGTGGACCCGGTGGCTCTTGATTTACGATATAGACGATCAAGAATCACTCTTCAATTGACTCCCCGGGTCAACAGCAAGCTTCCTAGAAAGAGATATTCTTGGAGTACGCAGAAGACAATAGTGGGCGTCTGCTGAAGAGTGCAATGAAGAGGCGCTCAGGGCGCAAAAATCCTCAATTGACAATTATGCCTAAAGCGATGCAACTACAAGTGGGAGACAAGAGATGGCAAGACGAGACGAGACGAGACGAGACGGTAGCACGTGTTGAAGAGTTACATTAGTCGTGTTTAAAAATCATATTCCAAAAACAAGTCTCTTTCCCCCGCTCTACTACGCAGCAAGGAACGTTGGAGTCTAATCGTTAAATGCATGATGCGTTGAACTTCGGCACGCCGGGAAGTTTAATATAGGCGTTCTCCGTTACCAGTCTCTCATATCATAACTCACATATCCAATTATTCCCTGCCATTGACGTTCCAGACAAGAAAGAACTTCTGCAGCCAAGAAAACGAGCAGTTCGTAAAAGATACGCTTAGATGCTCTAGATGCCCTTCATAAGCAGTGGTCTGATTTTTTTGTTTCTGGACGTTGATGATGTTCTAGAAGTGGCTTGGTGACTGGCAGGGGTTCTTGCAGAGAGGCTTGCATCAGATTCGTAGTGGGTGGAGGGGTAAATCAACCCCCGTCATGGTGATATTTTCATACATGATATTATCCCGTCTCCTGGTAGAAGATACGGTGTTAGTCACAATGCGACTACTTGGCCATTGGGCGTTTGGATGAACTCCGTGGGAATCCTCAGGGAGCAAGAAAATAACGGACCTTAATATATAGTATTAAACTAAACTCAGTAAAGGATATCCTAAATTGACTTCAATTTACCTAAATCTCTTTATCATTTTAGATCAAGATCTTAGTTTTCTGTCCTCCTCTAGGAAATGCCTCCGTAGAAGTGTGTGTTGTTATCAATACGACAGTCCATCTGCAAGCTGGTTAAACATGTTCGAAATCAGCTGTCCATGCAAGTCCATCTGTTGTGATACATGACGACTAAGTGAGATTCGATCATAATACCAGCTAGAACTCTACAGGAGTATTAAGCGTGCTTTTCAAAGAACCAACTAAATTCGAATCAGTTCTTCTCAGATAGAGCGATGTATTATTCATATCAGTGTGCAGTGTGAGATATGTCACTTGGAAACCTTGTTGATCGAAATGTTCGTTCTGTTATTTGATGCTAAGGGAAATCATAAAACTCATAAACTAGGGCTATACACAAAGTGTAACCAAGATCATCCATCTGGTTACCTCGACAACACCCGCGAGAAAACCCAAATCAACACCCGCCTGAACTCCTCTTTAGAGGGTAAACCCCTTTGCGCGATGGGTAGCCCTGTTTATCTTTTTAGGGACGTGCTCTTGCTTTTTGGCGCACTGCCCAAGCGACAGCCGCGCGCTTATCGGCTGGTGTCGACGACGTAGCGACCGACAATTTGGCCAGCCTTCATGAGCTTGTAGACCTCGTTGAGCTCAGAGAGACCGACAGTCTTGAAGGGGACCTTGATGAGACCACGGCGGAAGAAGTCAATAGCCTCAGCGGTATCAGCACGGTTGCCGACGTAAGATCCCTTGATGGAGATCATGCGAACAACTGTGTCGAAAACGGGAGCGGAGAACTGAGCATTGGCGGGGAGACCGATGCAGACGACAGTACCGCGAGAGCGGATGTACTGGGTAGCCTGTTGGAAGGGCTTCTCGTTGGTAGCAACGAGGAGAGCGGCGTGAGGTCCGAGACCATCGGAGGTGGTAGCCTTGACATCGGCGACAAGGTTCTTGGTTGTGGTGAAGTCGACGTAAGCAGTAGCTCCGAGCTCCTTCGTGAGCTTTCCCTTCTCCTCACCACCATCGATGGCAATGGCGTGGATACCCATGGCCTTGCAGTACTGGACAGCGATGGAACCAAGACCACCACCAGCACCGACGATGGCAATGGATTGACCGGCCTTGACACCGGACTCCTTGAGACCCTTGTAGACGGTGATACCGGCGCAGAGAATGGGGGAGATGGACTCGAGGTCACACTCCTCAGGAATGCGAGCAACGTGGATAGCCTTGGCAATGGCATACTGCTGGAAAGATCCGTCGACGGTGTAACCGGAGAGGAGAGCCTCAGCGCAGAGAGACTCATCGGCGTTCTGGCAGTACGAGCAGCTCAGGCAAGAGCCGTTGAGCCACTTGATACCGACCTTCTCGCCAATCTTGACATCCTTGACAAGGTCGCCGCGGGCAACGACAACACCAGCACCCTCGTGGCCACCGACAAGAGGCAGCTTGGTGTCGAGGGGCCAGTCACCCTGCCAGGCGTGGAGATCAGTGTGGCAGACACCGGAGAACTTGACGTTGACGAGGACCTCATCGGGACCGGGCTTCTGGACGGGAATCTGCTTGTACTCGATGGCTGGGAAAGTGAGTTAGTATATATAAGACTTGACAGTGATCAAATTGTTGAGCAAATGGATGGTAGGGGATCTGTGGATGGGTGGGACTCGATAGAGAACCTGGGGTTGTATATGATATCAATGATATCAAGAGGCAATTGGGGCTGTAGATTGAAGGAGATAGGATGACATACGACCGGCGGTCTTCTCGAAAACCTGAGCCCACTGCTTCTCGGGAATCTGGGGAGCGGCCATTTTGATTGTTGGAGTGGTTGGTTGGTTGTTTGGTTGGAAGGATATCGAAAGGTTGTCGTGAAGACTGAAGAGTTGAAGAGAGAGTTGAAGAGTTGATTGATGATCTGGATGAGGATGGAGAAGAAAGAACCAACTTGAGACCGATGGGAGCAGAGTTTATATAGATGTTGGACGGGCGATCCAGAGTGAAGGGACTGATCTATGTGGTATGGTCTGCTCTGCTCTGGTATGGTACGTATGGATAGTACTCGGGCCTAAAGCGTATGGTATGATGGGCCAACGGGGCAAGGATAGGCGTCTGGGTGTAGAAAGTCAAGCCTCATCTTGGCGGTCGCGGGGGAGAGGGAGTGAGATTCTTGGTGTCGAAGGGTGTGAGAACAGAGACGAGAGAGATCAGAACAGATCAGACAAGAGAGTCTCTATTCTGGACTCGACTCGATTCTGACCAAGCCTAAGCCTAGGGGACAAGGTGAATCAACGAACAAGGGCCAAAGGGAGGGGCCACTTCGGCTGCACGGGGATCCGCATTTTGGAACATGCTCGTTGGACTATGGTTTTCGGGATGCGGCGAACGGTGAGTGCGATTGAGTGGCAGTATCGTCCTATGCGTTTGTTGCATGGGTTGCGTGCGTGTGTGTGTGAGAGAAACAGAGTGTGAGGTGAGGTTAGCTTAGCTCGGGTTGTTTGTAGTGGCGTCACCAGTGGATAAGGTACCTACCTAGGTAGTGAAGTGGACGAGTTAGGGATTAGGGAGCTTAGGCCCAGGGCAGGTCCCGTCCATCTCTCCATCTTCCCTGTAGCTTAGATACCTAGGTAGGTTCTCTACAGTTACGCATTGCTACGGTACCTGCCGCGCCTTACCGTAGGTCTGATCTCCTCACGGCGTGTTTCTGTCTGACCCCCCGCTCAATGCCGGACTTCAACTTCCCCTCAGCTCTAGTGAGAATCGATGATAGTACGGAATAGCGCCAATTTCAAACAGTCTTGCTTGTACCTCTGGGGGGAAAGGTACTTCCATCCGCAGCTACAGAGCTAGGGGCAGATCTGGGAATCAATGGGGTGTGCAGTAGGAAAACAATTATCCGTAGTCATGATGCTCTAGTCCAAGGTTGGTACTGTAATAAAAAAAAAAGTTGTTTACAGTGGGAAGTGGTGATATTCTGGCGAGCATCCATCAAAAAAAATTCGACCAGGAGTCAGATGCTTTTTGCGGCCCTTTTCCCATTACACCGGGTTTTCCATTCAAACTGTAACAGGCCACAGAAACCCATTTTTAAAACGCCCGATGCCCAAAGATAGATAACAAAGAGGAGACTGCGGTAAATTCGGGTCTTTCGATTGCATATCCGGTCCTAATTCGGTTGCTCCCATTCATTGTCAGATCCTGCCCTGCCCTGTATGTCTCAATATTGGATAACATAACATGACATGACATTGAAAAGCCTCATGAGAGCCCCTAATCTGCTCTAACCTTGCAGGGCATGCGAATTGTGGATTAGCAGGGTCCTGTCCCAAAAAGGGCGCTTGACATCAATCTACCAGATGCTTCACTCATCCCACGCGTTTCTTACTGCCAGCCTCCCTGAGCTAGAATAGCTTCTCATCACCAAGCGCATCCGTTGAGCCATGTGGGAGCTGCACTGCCTGTTACATCTCATAGGTTGGTGGATTACTGGGGTGGTGTTTGGCAGCGGCTCCGTACCTTAGCACGGAGTTGTAGGTGTGGCATCACTTCTCTGACGCCCCTAAGCTACCTAGGTACTGTAAGTAGGGATGTGCATCTCGAATGAAACGCTCAGTTTATGTTCATCTGCCTTTCTCGGCGTCAATCAACTGCCGTTACGCATTCAAATTTCCATATTTGCGGATCCAAGGAGGTTTCAGTTGTGATTTCTGTGGATTAATGCCTCAGTTGTTTTCAATTTGATATCATGATTACTTTGATCTCAACCGGATCGTTAAATCTCGCCGTTCGCGTTATCCGTCGCCGAGTGTCGGCGTTATTGGATCCGTCGGCATGGAGGGGCAACAGATCATCAAAGCTTCCTTCTGTGACATCAGCAAAGCAACTTAACTGTACATGAGGAAGGAAGGGATTTCCTCTGCCAACAGCCCAAACCAAGAATTCTTGTCATAGATACCAATCAATGCTCCCTCACTGAATCATCTGCAACCTCCCTTTTACCGGTAACGAGCCAACGGCGCTAGAAACCGCTCGAAAGGATCTCGTGGAGGACATGCAGTCATTCATCCAAAAAGCCACGGCGATTACCCCAAAATACGGTATAAACCATCGTGGCCCGTATTGCGACTGGTGCATCAAGGCACGGAATAGGAGGAAACTGTGCTAAACTGTTATACAACAGTGGAGAACCACGTCAATCAATACACAATTAACTACCTATGGCGTGTACGGATACTTCTGAAAGCATCCTCACTTTTCCCCGCACTCTCATCAGACATGGCGCAGGTCCCCCAGATCACCTAGCACCGCGCTATTAGGAAGCAACTTCGGATCCGTGAACTCACATGAAGCTCCAAATGAGGATCTTCCCCTGATAGATCTTGGGTATACACGCAACGCCCAGCAATTGAGTCTATCTTCACTGGTATGCGAAGGGACCATCTTCGGGTCCAAGGTTCATCCCAGCCGGATGGATGGAGGTCTTTTGGGAAGTGCGGGGAAGCTCTAGCTCAGTCCGTTACGCACTGAAGACACCTTGACTCGAAATCCCTGCAATATTGCTGCTATACCAACGCTGGACAGTGCTGCGGACTCATGCGGATTGGTGGCCGCAACACATGTCTCCTGCGAGATGGAATAGTTCACTCGACCACAGACCAGCTCTTCAGGATTTCTGGTATAGTTTCCAACAGTTGAGCAGACCTCGATGTGATCGTGTCAAAGGCTGCATGGAAACGACTTGGTACGACAGTATAACAGTGTCTAGGCCGTGCCTCGCTTACAAGATACTGTAAGCCCACCAGATATGGCACGAACAATGACTGGCAGAACCACATGCGCATGTTATGTATGCACAACTAATTGTTCGGCAAGTCAGTCTCCTCTGTTTCAACTGTCTTGGTTAGTCACCTGAATTCAGTATTGTCTAAGCGACTCATGAATTTGGTGCACCATTTCACGAGCATATCAGAGACTCTATTGGTCAGATTTTACCCCAATCTATGCCAACGCTTCTCGTTCAGGCTCCGGGTGGCCGGGCGTTGTTTATGGCAATTGGCAGTTTGCTGGAACAAGCCTCAGGAAATGCCATCCCAACCCACCCTGATACAAGTCTCAGTCACGATTGCGGATAGATGTACCTTGTCTATGAAGGCTACATTGACTTAGAGCAGTGAGCTTGGGGCATCTGAGCCTAACGATCAAACTCCCTAGCCACTCTCGCACCCTTGTCCGCCCCTAATTCTCTCGCCAAGTACCATTTGCTTCTCGAACACGCAACTGGTAGGGGAATGATTGGATGCAGTCTTTGTCCTGTGGCAACACCTCATCTGCCTTCAACTGCTGAAGATCCACCTTCCGCGATACCTTCGCAGGGATTGTCGAGATGTGCTTTGCCCCATGTCAGTTTTCCTCCCCGCGTGTCGGTCCAGAGGGAGATTGGCTTGCGAGGCTTTTTGTTCTTGAAAGAGCTTTCAGAAGTGCATAATCTGCGTAAGTGAAGATGCCTATTGTTTCCTCTCAGAGCTCGTCCAGCCAACATTATGGATGATGTATACAAGCTTGAAGGCCAAGTTGATGCTGGGCTATGTTCCATAATCCATCACGGAGCTGTTATCCAAATTTCTTTACCTTCGATACTGTCTATCTAAAGCAAGGGAAGCCGGATCTAGCTTGACCAGGTCGTCACATCTTGAAAGTTGAACCCCATGTTCCTTAGATCATCATATCTGGGGCAGGGTCCGTGGGTTCCTGGGTCCTCCGCGTTTTCAAGCCGCGCTTATCCCTCTAGGCTCCATCATCATGCCCGTGCAGTGCTAAAACGGCATCCACTGCGGCTCCGCAGTTTTAACTTGCATGAGCCGCAGTTGTTTTCCCCGCATCGACGTTGCGGCACGCCCCCCGGCCTTGGAGACGCCCTGAGAACGGCTGAGCCCCATCGAGTCCAGCCATGCGTGTAACTGCATCCCTTCCTCCTGGCGCTTCCTGTGATACGGGGCCCCGGACTTTAAAAGTTGTTGGCCTCATGAGACTTCTAGGATCTGGAGAAACGGAGGCATTTCACGGGGTCATGTTGGATCTTTCAGCTTCACACTATACCTGATCCAATGATGTTACGGTGAGCTGGCGCCAAAAGGCGTGGCTTCACCTTCTCATGAGGACAATCTGGAGTCATGATACCCAGATCTGGGGTAATCATGGTCAAAATTCTACCCCAAGCTTTACCAGATAGGTATTCTTAAAGTCATACGTGCCCCTTTATTGGCCGATATGCCTGTCATGGCGTTCATTGCGACGAGCCGTCAGTGTCAACTTGAAGCGCTTGTCCGAGGGAGGGGCTATGCTCCATGGACCAGGGAGCTCCTCACATGAGAGCTGATTCCGTGCATGGTTGCTTGTTGCTTTTTCTGCATCTCTCATTGTTTCTGTGGTTTTGCAGCTTCTTGGAGTTCACTCGAGCAGCTGGTCATGATGATTTCTTGCCCCATTTGTGGCCATATTCGCACAATACTGATTCGATTTCCTGGGAAACCAGCGTACAAGTCGGATTCTATGAAGACTCCGTATGCTCATCTGCCCCATACCTCTCTTCTCTGTGCAAACAATGGCTAATTTGCATTTCCTGCTTTGTCCCGCGGTCACTGTCGTGTTCTGTGTCTCCCACGCAGCACTTCCTACGAGCGTAACGACTTGATAAACATATTCAAGAGGCTGACAGTCGAGTTGCCTTGAAGGGCTTGCTTATGGCGGTACTCTCGCGTTACTTCGCAAGTTACCCTCGTTCCTTTCAGTTTAACCAGCTATGGAAGTACTAGCCAGCCGTGAGGCTAAACTTTAGGCTGTTGAACGGTTATATAAATCAGGGACAAAGAGTTTGATAGAGCTGTTGTATGCTGTCCAGCTGACAACAGGCAACAGGCAAGAAACGAGCTTCAAGATTACTGGAAATGACACTTTTGATACGACATTCAGGGTCTGTTATGCGCAATACGTCCTACACGTCGATCGAAGTTCACGCACAGTGATGGGGCTTCGGTATAGGTTCCGGACGATGAAGGTGAAAGCTGAATTCAATCAACTGTCTGGAATGGTTAAGATGTTTATTTATGAAAACAGATGTTCCTCCTTTTCTCGTTGCCCGAGACCATAAACACCGAATGTTTCCCAAGCGCTTGCAAAGCTAACAGATATTCAGATGGATCGATCGCCCGTCACTTCCTCGACTTGCCTCCTATCTTGGTGCAGCGCTTAGGCGGCGACCTCGACAGACTGCTCAACACCATCCGCCTTGCCAGAGTTGACCTTCTTGCCAGTCTTTGCGATCTTCTGGAGGACGGTATCGTAGGGGAGGGCGGTGACGACCTTGGCGGTCTGGTTCTCAAGGGACACATCGTAGCTCTCGACACCTGCAAAGGGATGCTGTTAGGAGCGGTCGTCCGTCGTTTGGGCAAATATACATACCGTCGAGCTTCTTGAGGACTCTGTCGATGGCACCGGAGCAGCCGCCGCAGCTCATGGTGATGTTGAACTCGTAGGTGTGAGTGTCGGCCATTGCGAATGTGTTTATGATTTGTAATTGTGAGGTTGAAGAAAATGGCGGGGTATTTTTTGATATGGATGTAGGTATCAAATGGAGATGCGAGATGGAAGCTGTCGGAATCAGAGGTCCGTGCTAAAAGTGGAAATAGAGTGGGAGAAAAAAGAGTCTGAAGGGGATTGTAAATAATTTGTAGTCGATTGAAAGGGGTATCTCGAGTTGCAGTCAGTTGTTGAGAGAATTGTCTGCCGCTGACTGTGACGGCGGAAGTGAATTATTAATAAACAACACTTGTTCTCTGTGCTTGGACGCCGCGATAATTGCGCAATTCGTTAGAGGGAGGCGGCCTAAGTTACGCCTCAGGTTCAGATGAAACGTGCTCAATACAACGGGGAAACTTTTCTGAAACGCTTCTGACGGGTGATTACTCCGAATCTTGGCCTTTTTTGCTTGCGAATCACTGTTTCGCTTCTGTTTTCTATGTCACAGCTTATGCCTTTTATCTCGCTGTTGCTTCAACCGTTCTTTGATGAGTGACTTGCTCAGTGGCCGAAGGGTCCGTGTAAGTCAGAGTCTAAAATTAGGTGCTAGTGATTTACAGTCAAAGATCGTCTCTCGTCATCCTGGGCTACGGTGACATAAGCCGTAGATTCAATTGTAGAGCGGCAGAAGTAGCGGGACCTGAATAACAGAATCTGTTAATGAGACTGCGGTGATTTTGCTTTGTTGACTGTTTGTGAGGTGAATTCAGGATGAAGTGGTCGCTTCTACAAACATGGGCTACCCTATATCACCCCTGAGATGTTGGATTCTGCCTCCCTCCACTGCCTATCCTCTCAAGATTCATCGAAACCTTTTATGAATTGTTTATATACTTGTATGCCATAAGCTGCGTGTTTCCGCTCGCCTACAGTTGTGCAATGTTGAGTGTAATCAAAGATTATAGTCAACGAAGCATAGCATTGTGGTATGTCAAAGTCTGCATCCCAACAATCGATCTCGGACTTTGAGGCACGATCAACACTCATCTTATCAATCTATCGTTCACGGCCCCAAGACCTCAAGACGTGTGTATATGATTCGTCATTCTTGTCTTTAGTTGAGAGGATACGATATTGACTCACAGCGAGCCAAAGAAGCACAGACGAGATACGATACGAAAGAATGGGCTGATGTTGATTTTCCCAGGTACCACCTTTTGTAACATGATGTGAGCTGTCACCGGCCACACCGAACCAAGTCAACGGTAGTCTAGCTACTAAGCTAGTCTCGGAGGAGAGACGCCGTCGAAGTAAGGAGACTCTTACTACCTTATCTTCAGCCGTTTATCCGAAGAATGCAACGAAACGATGGCCTTGTAGAAACATTAACCAGAGTCCCAGTCACGGCCACAGTCCCTGCAGATGCAGGCATCAGCCACCCTTCATTCTCCTGACTAGAAAAATAGTCTATCGGGCTGCAGCGAAATCAGATCACCTGCTAACCAAAGTGTGCCGTTTATAGCACCGAAAAAGAGAGCCTCATGAGGCTCTTCCGCAGCGGCTCGGCCCTATACCTTACCCAGGACCCAAGGACCATTCAGAGCCGAGATACAGGGGCAGGCATATGAGATTCTGATAAGTTTTCAAGATGAGGCTCTGCCTTGGCGTTATTCTAGAAACAAAGCCACAGGGCGTGTACGATATACGCCCGTATGCCCCCGGATATCTGGCCGAGAATCCATGATCTGATCTGACGATAGCAAGGGTCGTGGGTTTCGATCGCCGGCTGTTTTCTCGGTGTAAAGAGGCTGTGCCTCGCTAGATCTCGATATGTGGACTTGGCCTTCCGTTGAAGTCACGATATAGTTTGGCTGTGTTTGAATTGAACCCCCACGGTGGTATGACGGAGTTTTGGGCATGTAAGATGCACATCAGAGACTTTAATGGGTTCGTGGCCTCTTACGTTTGGGCTGGGGGGGGGTTCTTGATATCGATGATCTGATGGGTTGTTGGGCTTATCTTGCGGTGAGTGGGCTTCGGTTTAGCCGGGAGGGTATTAGTAGGGGTCTTGGTGATGGTCTGGGCTATGATGGATGGGTGATGTGTCATTTTGGTTCGTAGATGGGGTTGTTGTATTTGCCATGGTGGTGTAGATGCAGATACTGTGATCTGCATACCGTTGGCTCTGATGTTGAGCTATCCATGACCAGGTATCGAAGCACGTGCTTATTCGATGGACTCGTCTCTCTTATGGATGAACTTGCGGACTCTAGCCGTGTATCCTTTGGAGGCAGTATGGGTTGAAGAGTAACTACGAGCCTCGGTATTCATAATATTATCACAAAATCCTCAACCCCCTCGTCTATGCCTGTACAAGATGTAACCTGTAGTTTCCACAACTCATTGAGACATACGAGTTAAGTATACCTGGCTCGTATTAGCTGACGAGAGAGACAGGATAACTGATAAACCGGGTCATATAATTACAGTGGTATAAGGCTCCTGAGTACAGCAACTCGAACGATACAAACACATCCACCATCATTAGCTCAGAGCCAAGTAGGCAGCTCCTTTACAGTTACATGAATCTGCGGCGTCCTCAACTTCTCCTCATCCTCATCCCAAATCTCCGGATCAACCTCAGTAGTGTTCCACAAATCATCAATATCATCAAGCCACTCCGCAAGCTCACCGTCTTCAACATACTCACGGCCCGTTTCTTCATCAGTGTAATGGAATTCAACCTCATCCTCACGCTTCAGGAACTTGTCAAGCTCCCACCGTGGCTGCACCGGTGCGTCCAGTGGTATCTTGACTTCTGCTATATGTGCTACATCAGGCAGCTGTCTCTTGATCATATGGGCTTTGGGGAGTTCGTTCCACAGGACGTAGATGGCCTTGATGTCCTTCATCCATGGCAGGAGACCTGCGATGTTGCTGATGCTGTAGTAAGCTGTGAATGCAGGGAGTGCAAGGTATTTGACGCTCTCCATTATACGAATGACAGCAGCCTGTTCAACATCATTCTCCCAGTCCACGGCCAGAAGTTGGAAGGATTCCCATTTATGTCGAGAAACATAGAGAATATCTCGCTCAGCGTCAAAGCGACGAACGAGGATATCGCCTTTGGTCTCTTCGCGAAAATACCACTCCAAGCTATTCTTCCTCCTCCATTGCTCAACCACTCGGCGACCCTCTTGGCATACAGCGGCACAAGTGGGAATAGGGACTTGAACACGAGGAGGCCGACTCAATTGTTGAATGCTTTGGGTCATCATGTCGTGAAATGCAACGCCAGGGGGAGAATACTGTGCCCACCAGTCCATGTTGTACATGTATAAGGCGGCACCACCATCTCCTTCGGGGAGCGTGTGCTCCCAAATAGTGGCACGCACTTCTGGTGGAAGTCTGGGGAATTGAGGGAATGATTGATCCATTGTGAGTTAAAAAGGTTCACTGAATTGTGTGTATTTGACTGTAAAGAATGAGGTTTGTGGTGTGAGTGATGTGAAAGAATCAAGGTCAGAGACGCGCTGGAGCGCGTCTCTGACCGAGGTTTTATATCCGTGTCAGAGTAGGGGGTTAGGGCTTTAACTTTCTTTTTTCCAGTTTCATACCGCCAATTAGTCACTGCCGACCCCTTGCAAGGATCAGCTCAAATGTAATTTCGTTACGGGCCACGTCTGAGGATATTCGAAAGGTTGATCGTGGTGATGATATTGTTGGGCTTCAATACAATAGCGTGGGTAACTTGTCTGGTGGTACATTTGATCAGTGCAACGACAACGAGCATTTGGCTCAGAAATTGACTGGCAATTGACTACTCGTATATGACTTCAATTGTGATTGATATGATACAATTCGGATGCATATTCGTAACTGCGTTGTCCCTTTCATGCGAGTATTGCCTGTCTACGCTCTGTTTGCTTTCAATGAAGAGGTCGATATAGGCCACATCAGATTAGATACAATGACAATGCCAATGCCAATTGCTACATCTCGCTATCCTAGTGGTTACCTCACAATATCCCAAGTAGGCACCTGCATGATGGTCACATCAACTCTGGGCACCTTGAGCTCCTTTGTAACGCTGTGAGCAATATCCGGGAAACGTTCCACCAATGCCCGCCAAATGCCATCCATCCGCTTCTGCGGGTCTCGGAGATAGACCTTTTCGAATAGTCTTAGTTGCTTGTGCCTGTCTAGCCGATGAATATGAACCTTTTCGTGAGGCTTAGGCTGTGAAGCGATCTCGCATCGCTGCTGGACCGATATATCGGTCCACCATTCCACACCACTTGGTAGGTATGTTGTGATCTTCTTGACGCGGGGGAGGTCGTTGAAGATGACGTATATCTTCTTGAGGTTGGGTGCCCGCAGCATGAGCCTCGCAATGTGCTCGGCGTTGTCGAATCTCGACATGCTATCGGCTGACACGGCCAAGTTGATGATGTTGTTGCGCAGGTTCTGGTGCTCCTCAGGGTCAAGCTCATCGCTATTGACGAACCCTTCAAACATATCCCATTCATCTTGAGGAACGTAGAGTATATCTCTCTGCACATCAAATGGTCGGACAAGAATCCTTTCACTCGTCTCCTGGCGATCATACCACTCGAGGTTGTTCTTGGCCATCCAGCGATGAACAACGGGGCGGGCGTCTCTGCAAACATTGTATACCCCAGAAATAGGGACCTGGATGCGGGCAGGGAGGCATGGGTTGAAATTGTCGTCAGAATTGGGACCTTGAGGCCTCGGCGGCGGGAAAAACTCATTTGCCCACCCTGGGTTGTATATGTATATCGCGTTCTCATCCTCGGGGAGAGTATATCCCCAGATTGCTGCGCGCAACTCTGGGGGTAGGTCATCAAATCGAGCCATTTCTAACAGACTTTCTTTTGTTTTCTTTTTGGTTTGTCAATATGATATGTTGTTTTGTTGGGGACAAGTTGTCATGAAACTTGCAGAGTAAACAGTGGGAGCGGGGAGAGGGGAAAGGGGGTGAAGTGATCTCCGTGCCAATCATGTAAACATGCATGCAACGTTCAAGATATGCAATACAACCGCAAAATGGAATTCCCTCATTGGACAATCGGACTTTCAATGATAATTCAATTATAAGTAAAACTTTCATCAACACGAACTTATGACAATAGATAAAAGACATAGGTAGTTAATGTGTTGTGTTTGCCGCTCAAGTGAATGAATGTGTGGCAACCAATAAATATATTCATCAGATGTATTTATTCGACTACATTAACTAGTTACTTGGGCAATCCATCCAAGAACATCACATACTCCTAAAACCTCGCCTCAACCTTCTTCTCGACATCCTGCAACGCCCACTCACTCCTGTTCTTCTTACTCCTCACCAAATCAACCTGCTCCTGCGTGAACCCCTTGGCCTCAACAGCTGGATTATACCCCAACTTGTTCCTGTTGCCAACCATGGTCGAGTTCACAGCCTGAGCGACTCCTCCATCTGCTCTCTTGTAAACAGTAACCACCGCTGCACCTCCAAGACCGAGGTTGTGCTGGAGACAGTATCGTGTGTTGGGCGTAGCACGGTTGTTGGCCCAGCCTCGAAGATGCCAGACCAACTCAGCACATTGCGCAATGCCGGTTGCGCCGAGGGGATGACCCTTGGAGATAAGACCGCCTGAAGGGTTGATGACGTATTTTCCTCCGTAGGTGATATCCCCTGAGCGGACGAGTTCGTGTGCTTTGCCCTTGTCACAGAGACCAAGAGCGTCAATGGTGATCATCTCATTTGCACTGAAACAGTCATGCAACTCAACGACCTGACAGTCGCGAGGTGAAATACCAGCCTGTTGAGTAGCCTCCTCCATAGCACGCTGCGTCATCTCATAGCCCATCAGATCAATGGAGCTTTGGGAGAAGAGACTTGGCGCATCAGTTGCGAGATGTTGACCTGCGATCTCAACAGCCTGTTCTCGCAGATGAGGACGAGCGTTGAGGAAGGCTTCAGATACAATGATGGCTGCAGCGCCACCGTCTGAAGTTGGGCAGCATTGGAGTTTGGTGAGGGGTTCGTGAATCATGGGAGATTGGAGGACTTGTTCCTTGGTGTAGACTTGCTGGAACTGAGAGTAGGGGTTCTTGGGTGAGTGGGCATGGTTGATGCGTGCAATCTCTGCAAAGTCCTCAGCTGTTGCTCCGTATCTAGATATGTTAGTACAACTAGATCCTACTTGTGTTGTCTCAGAGGTACTCACTTCTCCATATACTCTCTTCCGGCATTACCAAACATCTGAGCAGCCCCGGGAGCGTTGGTGACACCCCTAGTCTCAGCCATCATCTTGATCGTCGTCCCAGTAGGGTTCTCTCTATCCTTGAAGTTACTCTGCAAACTGCCCGCGGCCATCTTCTCGAAGCCCACGACCATAACGCAGTCAGCAGCACCGTGCTGAACAAGGGTTCTAGCCATGTTGAGGCCAGTGCTGCCTGTCGAGCAGTTGTTGTTGACGTTGTAGACGGGAATTTGGGTCATGCCGAATTGGTAGAAGACGCGCTGGCCGCATGTGCTGTCGCCGTAGCAGTAGCACGCAACGCCCTGGTCAACATCGTCGTAGTTGATCTGGGCATCGAGAAGAGCTTTGATACCGGCCTCGAAACCGAGCTCGGTGTAGTCGACTTTGCCACGGGGTTTGATGAATTTGGTCATGCCCACGCCAAGGACGTAGACGGGTGACTTTTTCTTCTCAGGCATCGTGGCTGTATTGTTGTGTATATGAATAAGGTAGAGTAGTAGAGTAGATAGAGTAGAGATATTCTATGCCTGTAAAGAGGAGTTTTCTTGCTATGAATGAATACCGAGTAAGATGAGTTGCTTGAATGGGGTAGATGCTAGGCAAAAGGAAACGTTGATTTTATGTATAAAACATGATATCACCACCATGAGTTAGTCAACAACCCCAGGATCGACGACTTTACCCCGGCTTTCATCCCAATTCGGTAAACAACTCGGTCCAAGCACAAACTCCCGTCAAATAGAATCGATTCTCTCGTTGCATTCACTGCCCCTAGCTTCAATCATCAGATACTGCGGGGGCGTCTAAAAAGCAACCGAGATGCCGAGGCTCGTTTGCTGCTTCAACATTTCCTATTTGGGTCGGCAACGGACTCTCAATGACCCGTGAACTGACTACGACAGCTTTTCTGCTCCGATCTTAGGAACAACAGAAGAATGGAATGGGTTTGGTATGCGAGAAGAAGTTACAATGCTTTCGGGGTATGAGTCGGGACAATTAGTCAAGGTCAAGGCCCGCTCCCGGCCGAATACGTCGGCGCCGTGTTCAATCGGCCGAGTAGACACAACAATAGACCTGCTCACGATCGAGATGACCAGGTATAAAAGTAAGTCATTTCTAGGCATTTAATTCATATTCAAAGACCTCAATTTTCTGCGTAATGCCTTGCTATAGGGTCAATTCATCCGTCTATCTTGTCATTGTCACGTTCTTGGACAACCCCTGGAGCCTCAACTTACTTACACCAAACTCACAATGCATATACTCCTCCTGAGCTCTTCAAACCACAACAGCGCTCGCATTATCCAATCTGCTCTATCTCGAAACTTTACTGTCGCTTTTCTGACTCCCCAGGCTTCACAAGTTCTCCATCATGCAAACGTCACTCCGATCAACGGCCTACCCGCCTCCCAACACGACCTCGAAATAGCTTTACAGACACCCAAGCCCCCTGAAGCAGTCATACTCGCTTTCTACAATACCCATGTTCTCGAAGCAGTCACACACACTCTTGTCAGGGCTTTAAAGGCCATTCAGACTGCTAATGTAAACAACGAAAAGGAAGCTGCAGCAATGCCTCTTCGTCTTGTGTTTATCCAAAGTAATGCGATGCAGTTAGATGCAGACGGCTACAAGAGAGTCGATAAAATAGTACGAGAAAGCGGTTTGCCTTTTGATCTCGCTCAGTGTCCCCGTCTGGCTGGGGAACTCTCTGCCACTGTCCGGGCTTCTCCTCAAGAAGGCCGTGTTGCTGCTTGGTTAGCTATTGTCGAGAAAGCGAGGATGGCTCAATCCCGCAAGATAAAGCATGGGGAAATAAGTCGAACGGAAGTGAAGAACCTAGAGTAGGTGATATCAAATTGGGATGACAGAACCGTAATGATTCAACTGTGTATTTTGAGATCGAGTTGCTTGCGGGCATAGTTTTGGTATTGATCCTTCATCAGAGCTCAGTTCGCTCCCATGTTCATCCAATCCATGCGATGTATTGTCCAAAGTCCATTCTATCAATAACTTGACGAAACTTGATCCATTAGGCCTTTGTTATATCCCAAATCCATCTCTTCCTTTCCCTTGGTCTGTAAAGGCGCAAAGCATACAAAAGCTCACGCTTCAACCATCTAACCCTAATGCGCCTCGCAGGGCCACGCATGGCCAACAGTATAAACGCATCTCAAGACAATCATCCCCGCAGGGAAATCCTGACCAACGCCCGCTGAACTTCCCAGATCCTGTATATCGTTCTTTTAAGTCCAGTTTGCCATCATCTTTGCAACTCACATATCCGCAGAAACACTCAGACCAATACCTCCCAGCCGCTCAAGACAAAGAAAACTTAAGTAAAAAGGGGTAGTAAGAAAACAGAGAACTCGAGACTCAAATCTTTCTTCAAACTCAGAAACTCAGATAGACATCCATGCGCTTGATTCCATTATTCCCATCCTTCCCAGAGCATCCAGTTGTCAAAGTCGTTCAGAGCGGCAGGGACTCCAATAGAATTTCGCTGATACATGAACGGTACATGATGCCTGTATGCATCCCCTTGGAAGCCGTCGACAGGAACTCCAGTAGAGCCCATAGGGACACCGTCGAGGTTCATGTTGGTTGCCCTGAGGCAACGATCCAATACAATGCGGAGGTTTTGTGTAACCTCATCTGTCTTGACTTCCGGTTTGGACACGCATTCCAGAACAACAGCAAGACAGACCACATCCTTGGTGTCCCGGCCACTGATGTTGCGAACCAAAAGGTCCAGCGTCTTTTCCACAGTGCTGATGAGTCGTGATGGCGACCAGAGCACAAGGTTCTCCGGGTTGTAGGTCGGGAAGTCGTCTGACGAGTCAGGAGACATACGTAGAGCTTGTGAGCCAAGTCCGGTGCTATCAGAAGCTGGCCGAACTGCAGACCGTATGTAGAAACACACACTCAAAGCTGCCTGGATAATATCCTTCTTCAATACCTGGTGATACATCTCGGCAATATCTTGGAAGTGCGCTAGCATAGGGTCCAGCTCGTCTAGGTATTTCATGATCACCATTGAGGATCTCAGATATGCTCGAGAAATCTGACCTGGCGCGTCAGATGCTCCTATTGCAAAAGGTCGATAAAGTGCAAGTAATGGCCGCCGCACATGCATATCCAAGATGACCCTCGACCTCCATTGCTTGCTCTTCTGTGCATCACTTAGGATTCCCTGCCTAGGGAAAATGTAGTTGATATCATCAAGGAATCGCTCCAGCTTGGCTCCCACCTCCAGGATCTCTTGATAGTCTCGAATTGTATCGATACGGTTCAACATATGTGCCACTTTCATCCGCACACCCAGAGTCATGGCTGCATAAACTTGCATCTGGTTGTCGGTAACCACGTCTATGGGTTTCGACTGTGGTAGCTCTTTCATATCTGGGAAAAGCTCAATGTCATCCAAGTTGCGGGGCGGCCGACAAGTAAAGTCTCCTTCCCGTACCAAACAAGGAAGATTACTTGCGAGTGAGATATGGAGGTCCATATCAAGAATCGTGAACCATAACCGCCGTCGCATTTCGCCAAAGTATATGGGGATTCGAGGTTCAAATTCGGAGGGATCGCGGTGAAGACCCATTGTCATGGCCATGCGTACGATGGAGCCCAGAGATGTCCAAGAGTCCTGGATCCGAGGGGTGATCATTCGCTGCGCATGTAAGAGCAAGACCTCGACCTGAAGTACCTCAAACTCAACCAGCTGTTTTCCTCTCAGACTATCCAGCCATGTTCGCACAAGAGCGCATGCTGTTGGGATATGGACGCCGTCAGATCGCTCGTTGCCAAGCCCTTTGGATTTAGTTTCGAATCGGGATGCGAGGGAGCAAAGTGAAAGTAGTTGTGGCAAAAAATACTCGGACTGTATTTTCCCTTCCCAGAAAAGATTGTACTGCTCCATAAACATGGGTAAATGGACGATGCGATAGATGGTCTCCGATGTATCGACATATGAGGCAACAAGCCTGTCACATACTGTCTTTTTAGGTAGGATATCAGTCATTCGCTTCTGAACGGGCATCATCGAGTCCACAAAGACGGTGATCGGAGACAAAGATTTCCGGTACTCGTCAATGAGCGCTTTGTGAAACCGCTTGAAGTTTAGCAGAACATCTCGGACGCCATTATTATTCGAATTGTTTGCCATGAAATCCTTGGCTTCGTCAAACTATGAAGTTTAGCAAATATGTACTTCAAAGTGATATCAAGGACAATTACCAGGTTGAGCAAGACACGAGGACTATTTTGGCCGTGATATCTTGTTCGTAACGCTCCTTGCTTGACTGTCAATCCTCGGATGGTCTCAGAGGACGCAGCAATTAGCCTGCCACCACTGCCTTCCGAAACAACGGGACTTCTGGCCATGAGTTGCCTCTCAAGCCTTTCCATACGCATTGACAACTCTTCGAGGGAAGGCGTAGCTCCAGTATCCCCATTACGGATAGGTCCATATGTTGAATCGTTACTAGGGAGAGGAGTGCCTGAGTTGAATATGCCGGGGTTGCAATTGCGCTTCGCTGGTCGAGATGGTTCTGGCATTTCGGTATCTGAGCCTTCAGAGAGGTTTGCGGAATCATGATCCATAGCATATTTGCAGGTTCGATTCGATTTCTGGCATTGAGAACAGGGACAAAGTCGATCGCATCGTAGTTTGCGCTTCCGGCATTCGGTGCATGACTTGACTGGCCTGGGTCTCTTTACACTTCGTTGTTGCTGCTGCTGTTGCTGAGTGAGCGCAAGACCCTGCGATGGCGTTTGCTGGTGTAGATGGTGTGGTGGCGTTTGTTGCTGCGACAGCGGCGCATCGTAAACTGTTGAGCTTAGAATAGACTGTGAAGCTGCGGCCGGGGCGCTGCCACCATCGTGGGTAGTTGAGTGCGCTGTGGTCATCTCGGGCATGCCTGCGGCCATGCGACTGACTGCCAGAGGACTATACGATAAGGACAAAGCTCGAAGCTACAAGGGAACGAGCGATACGGTGGGAAAGTGGTCGGTTGGAGCCGTATGCGAATCAGAGAGGCGCAAGTACGCGAGGTCGAGCAAACGGTCAACGAGCGAGGGTCCGGTGAAAGTGCGCTGACCAGTTTCGAGGACTGAGCAATAAGTGGGATGCAGTGGTATTCACGATGCCGATGACAGCCTCGGCTGGGAAAGGTAGACAATGGTAGGTCGCTGGCGCACTGGGCTCGCAACTGACATGGCGGATAACGAAATAGAAGGAACTCGAGCAGAGTTATGGAGGAAGTAAAGCCAAGAGCAGATTTGTCCAAGGCGAAGCCGAGACGGATAGGCAAGTTAGAGCCTAGAGGCACCACCAGGCACGCAGCTTCGGATAGCAAACGGGGCACAAGGCACGGGACACGGGGGACAGCCAGGACCACACCGGTAGACGTAAGGTAGGTAGTAGTGTAGACCTTTGGTTGCAGATGGGATGGGATGGGGCAGTTTGAACTTGCCAGGCCAGGGTCGTTGAGCTTTACCTTGTTCGAACGGGACGCAGTTGACGCCGTGGAGCTAGCCTAGAGCTCAGTGGCAGTGGTCCGGTCCGTTGCCTCTCTTTTTTTCTGGCTGTTCCGTCTGATTCAGCCACCCCAGACACGCGCGCGCGCGAGTCGGGCGATCCAGCAGCGCACCTGCGGGCCTGGCTACCTGGCTGCAGATGAGAGCTAGGGTAGTGGACCCGTTGCGTTGGGCTGGGTTGGAGTTGGGCTGGACCTCCGTAGAGTCGCACTGGAGGGATATTCTCGGTTTGTTAGATACGTGATGACCCCGATATGTGATTGGTCTCGAAGCGCATTGTGCGAGGTACAAGGATGGTTGTTGACTACTTGATGGTGGGATCTAGCACATGGCACAGAGATCGCCAAACTCCTTAATGTTGACCTTGGTCAATGACTGAGTCGTTCGTTCCGGGACTGCTTAATTAATGTCCGGAGGCGCTGGAGTCGCCGTCTGGAGCTGGAAATATTTTAACTTGGCGGGGGGCCGGTTTGATCGGCCGATGGAGACAATTCAACGGACCCAAGACACCGTACCTTGTCTTCGATTGGCGTTATAGGGACCAGAACCTGGCTAGAACGTCAGAACGGGTCTGGGTTTTGGTATTGTAGATCGCTTGTGGTCGCTTGGCAAGAGAATTGGCTATTGTGTGTCAAGTTGGACAAGACAGGAATGCATTTGTATGATCAATAACGCGATTAGACCCTAGAAACAATAGAAATGTGACGAGGCGGTTATTTTCAAACGATCACTTGAATCTGTTTATGATAGATGATGGAATAGACGTTCTCGGCGTGCAGTATCCACTACCAACTAGGTGGGTTGTGACAGTGGAGAAAAGGCTCCTCCTTCTCTTTTATCAGACTGGATTCTGATATTGGACGGACTCTGCCACAGAAGGCAGGTACGAAAAGGCTGTAATTACCTGCCCAGCGCCCAGCATCAAGATTGGGCGGTTGTTGGGGAAGCCTCGGGGAGCAAGAAAACGCCAGACCTTCATATAGGGTGCCAAAATAAACTTAGTAAAAGATATCCTAAGTTTCTAAAATTACCTAGATCTTTTTGTCATTTAGGATCAAGGTCCCGAGTTTTCTTTCTTCCCCTAGGGGAGGCACCAACAGTTGTGGTGGTGTCCTTCCCTCTCATCTCGGAGCCGATCTCTGGGCCTAGACCATTAGACCTTGAAAGCAGGTGGTCTCGATCGCTGTTGTGTTCCCCCAAGTGATACATGAATCGCACGTGATACCTTGAAAATGGCCCTGAATTCCATGTTCGCTATCAATAACACGAATCCTGATTCAAATGTAATCATCATCAGCACCTCCTCCTTCTTTGATCGACAGCCTCGACCGGTCGTTTCGCTGTCCGTCCCTTTTCGGGGCCACTATCAAATGTCACCGCCTGGAGTCCTCAATATCGAAAATGCTTGGCCACATGGCTCGTGCCAAACCAGGAACATCCATCAAAGATTATCAAGAGATTACCAATCCGACGAAAGCCGAGAAAACGCACACAGAACGGGAATTCGATAATTCTAGCGGAGGGCTTTGAATGGAGATCTGCATATGTAACTATGCCGATCGTGACACTTGACTTACAGCACAGGCACAGCACGGTTTTGCTTGGCCCATCGCCCATCAGCGGGTTCACCACGGATTCAAAAATAATCCTTTCGGCCGACTCATGTGCTCCATCGAAATCCCCAGTCTCCTCCGCACGCGCAAACCCGTGCTTTTCGCAAGCATTTCCATTCAATCCCCGGGGTCATCGACTTACACAAGACAATTCAGTCTCACTTTTACTTTTATTATGGGGTCGTGAGATATGTTTAGCACAAATGTCATTATCTCAGCCTCAATTATTGCGAGTCTCGTATGACAGGAAAAGAACACAATGGCAAGGATTTGGTTTGCGATAAATGATGCTCGGCCTTTCGCTCTCGAAAAAGTCTGAATCGAGCTGCTTGACTAGACACAAGCGCCTGCGTGGAACGACAGCCCATCTGCTGGCTCTCCGCCAGTTGCCATAGTTGTCTTTGGCTTCTCATTGGCATTGACATGCTCGGACAAAATGGCCCAATTGGGTCCTTGAGGCTAGAACCATTCTCCACCACGTTTCACCCTGGTTGACGTCCCCAGAGTCCAGAGTCCAAAGTCCCAGACCGAGTCGAGTCGCGAGCCGCAGTCTTACTTGGACCAAGCCTGGTGTATCATGTGCTCCGAATCATCAGCCATGAATTTTACATGCGCCGCATGCGCCTGAAGTGCTAAGACAAGTAACTCCAGTCGGCCGACGGTGTGCTCCGTGCTTCTGATTTAGGTGTCGGGTTTCTCGGCTCCGAGAAAAATCCCCATTGTCGTTATTCGTTCCTCGGATCGCTCTCGACAAACGCTAACATGCCCAAGCCAGGACATGGGCACTTTTTATTACTTGTATTTTTTATTTATTTTTTTAATCTTTCAGCTGCACACTCGTGGTTGGCCCATGGTGACACTTTGGCTCAGCAATACCAATTAATGTCGGTTCACATCCAGGCCTCTCATGGACCAAAATGCCGCGATTAACTGTCATAAACGCAATCTCTCGATGCAGCATAGCCGGATGGAGTGCTTGCTCAACAAGTCCTAGCCGCTTCTGCGAACTGCTGTCTTCATTAGTCCAGGATGACTGCCATGCACTAGACAGGGCTGAAAATGGCACGCTACGGCCGCAAGAGAGAGAGACTCCGGAATCCTTTTACCACCTTGAATCAATAGCTGGCAGGTTTGTGAAAGCCTTATACATATCGTTAACACAGCATAAGTCTTGCTATGCCTTCCAAACAATCACTCGATGATTTCCGGAGTGCAACAGCCCATGTCAAAGTGCATGTTTATTATACCATGTTTCTACAATTTAATTGGCTACAGTTTGGTAGGGTTCATTAACTTCTGCCGCCCTTTCTAGAAGACTTCATCTCCGGTACCGCTCTAGCGAGTTGGATGGCGTTGAAACTTGCTCAATCGATACAATGGAACAATTTAATGCAATTTGTCTACATGCATAATAATACAACTAGTCAGAGACTATTGAACACTCCTTCAGCCCAATAAACAAAACTGGTTTGTGTTCTTTCTTCCCACGGGAATAAACGATTGCTCAGCCAAGAGGGTCTAGCAGCTTTTGATGGGTCCTCTACTTCTGCACCATCGTCATGAACCCCATGTTCCATATTATCCAGCGAATAGTCAGCCTCAATGACTCCCGGGCCAAGCCCCTGGAAGGCCACTGTTGGGTCCCCTCTCCTGATGCTCATCCTCATCCTGACCAGGCTCATGCTCATGCTCCTGATCGTCATCAGCCTCATCTGGCATATCGTGGTCATCAGCATTCGGCCCGGCTATTATGCCAAGGACGTGCATGATTCGTTGGACAAGTCCTGGAGCATCTCCTTGTTCGTCCTCTTCGAGATCCCTCATCAGTTCTTCATCGTCTAGTGCCTGCACGGCCGCAAGATGAGCGTCCTCTTCATCATCTTCACCGTCGGGACCAAGGGGTGCGGCGCCGGGTGCACCACCCCGACCAGCTGCCGCGAGACGCTCGAACATGTTGTTCAGGCGTGTCTCGACTGCACTTTGTTGACCTCGTTGTTTGACAAAAGGAATTTTTGTGCCTTCGCCTGTAAATATATTTTCCTCCTCAGTGGGTGGTAGAGGGTCGAACTCGTAGTTCGGTTGCATTTCCAAGTACTCTCGTGGCGCCAGACCCATAAGTGATGTCTGACCCTCAAGATATACAAGCCTTGTAACGCCTTGGTCAGGAGGAGAGTCACTGCTGGGCAGCACGCTTGTGTCAACCTTTTCGAGACTCTTGGCTGTCTTTTCAAGGAGAGGGATAGCTTGTGCGTTGTTCCAGATATCCTTGGCCTGGTGGATGTAGAGCTTGACCCAGAACGAACGCGAGTTTGAATCAGCGTTTATGCCCCAGATAGATGGAGGTGTGTCAAGGTTTAACTCCTGGAACAGTCCACAGTACAGCCAGGGGACACGCCGCATGCCCTTCTCGAGCTCTTCAGTTGCACGAGCAGTATTGCCCAGTTGCAAGTGAGCCAATACCAATGTCTGTCGAAGGTAGATCGAGTCTCGGTTATCGGTCGTCTTCTCCAACTCCTCCACAAAATCGATCAACCACTGAGACTCATGGGCTCGAATAGCCAGCCAATGAATGAAGTGTCTCATGGCATAAGGATCACTTGGATCCAAAGAATACATAAGCTTAGCCCATTCCAGGGCAGTGCGATTGGTGCCCTTTCGCATGAGACTCTTGAGGTAGTGATATCCAGCCAACCAGAACTGTCTGTTCTCTGGACGACGGAAGTCAAGACGTGCTTTGCCTTGCTCGATGTTCTGGCGGAAGGCATTTGTGGTCACACG